GAGAGAGAGAGATTGTTTCCTAATTAGAGAAATACCAAAAAATTTGATTGCCAATTAGACATTTCAGTTGCATACTGGAGAATTTAAAGCATAGTGAAATATTTTGCCTAACCAATAGACATTTCAGTTGGGTACTGGAGAATTAGGCATAATGAAATATTTTGCCTCTAAAAACCCAAGGTTTATTGGGGCCAATATCCAAATTAATGATTAATCATATAAAAAAATATCCAAATTCACTAATCCAAGAAAAAGGTGCTCAAAATTGGAACATTGCTATTGAATGATAATAAGTCCTGAATATCTCTGAAAGTGTCTGTGCTTCCCAATTATAGAACTACCAAAAAATTTGATCATCAAAGGACAGTTCACTTTCTAGGAAACTTTAGCATATTGAGTTATTTTGTCCAACTCTGAAGCGTAAATTCCCATGAAACAATTCGAGCCCATATCCGAATTTGGTTATCAGATATAACTATCAGTTGTAAAAGAAAATTCCAATTTCAGTGATCCAAATAAAGAGAAGGCTCAAAATTGGATCTTAGTCCAATCCAGGACCTATTTCCAGTCAAAATGTATTGAATCTGTCCAAAAGCTCGTGAGTAATTTGTGAATTAGAACCTGCAGAATCATTTACACTTTCCTGTTCAATTTTAAACAAATATCCAAAGGATTTTCAGATGAATCTAGACAAAGTTTCTTAATAAAAAATCTGGAGACTCAATCAAAGCGGAGACATCATATACACAAGCTACAATGGCAACAAGCCAGTCAATCAAAGTAACCAACCAGTTCATGTTAAGAAAAAGAGTGACATACCGACCAATCATCTTCTTCCTCCAAAGAAAGGCGTAGGGTTTCAGAAAAAGGAATGGCTCCATAGGTTCTAGGGTTTCTTCCAAAGCCATACCTTTGATAACAGTTCCCCAGGGTTTCTGGTGCATCTCGGAATTTAAAACCAGAGCACCGCACAGAACATTGCCCATGACCAAACCCTATAAACCACCCCGAAGAGCCACATATTCTAGGGTTTCTTCCAAAACGAAGATTCGCACGATTGTTTATTAGGGGTTTCAGATAAGCGCTTGTCGCCAAAATGGCCTTTTGAGGCGATCGCCTGAGACTACACCCCGGAACCCGCCCAGGAGATCCATGGATTCTAGGGCTTCCATAGCATAGGAACTTTTGAGGAGAAGAACTGCCGTTTGATTTTACGGTTTCTGAGGAATAAAAGCCTCTCAGAAAGACATGACTCTGAGAGAGTCGCCATTGCGGGTGAGAGCAAAGGAGCATCGCTCCAATGTAACCCTAAAAGATAATCTCTTGATGCATCTCTCTCTCCTCCAAATACTTCGAACCAGCGATTGAAAAACTAGGACCGGTACGTCGAATTGGACAGATACCCGTCCACCGGCCGACCGCCAAATAAGAAAAGAAGGATGTTTACAAAATTTAAAGAGCTTAATATGTAGGGGTGGCATTGGCTAGGTGGAGTGGCCCGGCCTAGTTGGCATAAGGTCCTGGACCACAAACGGAGCTAGGGCCGCACCATCACGGCTTGAGAGCATGGCTAGGGCTGGCTCAGTTTGGCCTTTTTTTATTCATTTTTTTTACTTTATTTTTTTTCTTGATTCTGGTTGGCCAAGGGCCCTTTGGGCTGGATCGGTTTAGGTTGGGCTAGGCCCCAAGCCTAACCAGTTACCACCCAATCATCAACATCATCAAAGCCTTTTTTCAACTGATTAGAGTCGGCTACACAAATCCTAGTCTTTCGTTCTACACTATTATGGGTCATATACCCTCAAGGCTTCCTAGTTTGTCATTCTGCACTATTATGGATCATATACCCTCAATGCTGCTATATGTCCCTATATCTTTTATTACTATTTTTAACCTTTTTGCCTTACCTTTTGCTCTTTTTTAGCTTTCCACTTGAACTAATTTGTACCTATTAATGGTTGATGTATTGGGTCTGCACAACACATGACCAGCCCACCTAAATCTTATTTTTCTCAACTTATTGGCTAATGATACTGCATCTAAATTCTCCTGAATGTATGCATTTCAAATTCTATCATTTAATGTTTTTCGCCTCATCTATCTTAACATCATCATCTTAGCATACTCATTTTATGGGTATATTGTTTCTTGACCACTCAATGTTTCACTCCACAAGGCATAATTGATCTCACAGTTGTCCTATAAAACTTGTCATTCTGCTTCATTGGTATGAGACATTCACATAAAACTCTGATAGCACATCTTCACTTCACCCCTCTAGCTCTAATTCTTTGTGCGACATCTTCTTTAATCATTTCATTTTCCTAGATTATAAATTCAAGATATTGAAAATGCGCTCTTTTGGTATGTTTTAGTCGCTAATTTTAATCATTTCTACTCTTATTATTACTAAACTTGCATTCTATATACTATGTCTTAGTCCAGTTAATTTTAAAGGGATTTTTTTACAAATAGACCATTTATCTTTTGTACATAGAGATCACAATCATTTACACTCATTGTATGTCAAATTTGATGGCTTAGGGTGAGTCACGAAGTCCGATGATTTGTTTTTGGAACTTTGTTCCTATTCAATGATACCCTTACAACAACTGATTTTAAAATTTAAGGGAGAAGAATGAATGTGACCTCCATGCACAAGAGATAAATGACCTCTTTGTAGATAATCTCAATTTTAAAACATCTATATTCTAGATCATCCCTTCTAAGTTATAACTTTGTGTTGACACTAGTTTAGATCTCGTCAATCAAAACTATGTCGTCGGCAAACAACATGTACCACGAGCTGGAAACTTCAACTATTTTATACAAAAATCAATTTTAACATAATATAACTTCTTTTTTTAGCATTGTTTATACACCCTTTGTTGGGTTTATGTGGCCTTTAAAAGTTTTATGGCTGCTTGTAAAATGAATGATATAGTGGAACATGAACTCAGTGGGAGTGTGGTCCCTCGTGGACCATACTAAGCAGACGATGTTTGCCGATACCGATTGTGCTTGATGATCTATGCTAGCCGATTGGGAAAAACCTATATTACCTGGGCATAAATAACAAACCGAGAAGGGTTCTAATAGGTTAGCCCTTGATGAGATCGAAGAATATGCCCGAATGAGTGAGCCGCAAGACTGTGTGACCCCTGTGTGTGATGGTGGCCACATAAACGGAGGCCAAAGCCCCATCCATGTGACATCACAAGGCATGCATATTGATAGATCTTTCGGGAAAACCAGAAATCTACCTTTTAGGGTGAAGCGTATGCATGTGCGAGAGATACCCCTATGCACCATAGGAGTTGTAATCGCATGAGGTCTAGGTGACCTTGGCTCATCTTTAAGGAAGGACCTGAAAGCGACAGACTAAGATTGCGACCCCTTAGCTCATCGGCTAGACTTTGATGATTCGCTAATGAGCCTCTGCTTAGACTGTGGGTCATGGGAAACATTGGGTCGGTCTGATAAAGCAAACGTGATCTGTAGTCCACAGTTGAAGGTGGAGTACCCCATGATTGTTGATTTAATTCCTAAACCATATGGATATTTTCCTATCAAATTAATTTAATTGTGTTTGTTTTATAATGAAAATTATTTTAGAATTATTATTTGAATTTTTATGAACCCCTGGATATGTTATTTATAATTTTTGGATTTATAACATAAAAATATAGATTTTACAATGGTTTAAATATTCAAATAATATTCTAAAATCTTTTTATTAATTTTAAATATATAAAAATATCATAAGAGCCCATTGTGCACATAGGCCCACCATATTTCTAGAAGGTGGGGCCCATGAGTGCTTCCCTTGGGTGCACGCCCACCCTTTATTCTGTTTCCTATGTTTTAGTGATATGGCATGTGGCCATATGGTTGGAAGATATTGACTAAATATTGATTTGATATATTTTTGAAAGATTTTGTGGAAAGATTGAGTGGGCTTATGCTATTTTATAATATGCACAATATTTTGATTAGATTTAATTTATTTAATTTTTATTGATGGAAAAATAGTTTAGGGGATAAGGGTCAACACCTTCCAAAATATTGATAGCCCATTTATGGAATGGATGGCTCAAATCTCTCATCCCACAAGTCACCCAAGATCAATGATTCATATTCAATCTCATAAAAAGAGACAAGCCAAGGAAAACCCTAAAAAACTCTATTCTTGTTCAAAGCCTATAAAAAAGATTATTTCTACCAAAAAATTTCTATACATTATCTCTTGTACCTAATTCTCATATTTCTTTCTCCTATCCCACAAAGGGACAAGCCCCACTTAGAATTTCTCTCTCTCGCTTAAGAAAAGTTTATCTCTCTCATGAAAACCCAAAAAGGGGCACGTCCCACTCTCTCATCTTTGATATCTTTCTCTCTCCTATATTGTAAAAAAGGGCTAAAGGTTTAGGCTATGGAGTTCTTCTCTCTCTCATCTCTCAACTATAGATTTGTGGATAAAGGTTTTAGGGTGTAGCAACAAAAAATCTATCTCTCTTAAACTAGGTTGTTAAGATAATTCATATAGGGTTTAAGTTTGTGATTAAATAAGTTCATGTTCTATTGGTGTGTCTTGGCCTAAACTTGCTTTCCTACTTGAGATTGAAGGTTGATCATTGATCCCTCGCCATCGGATGGTGGTGACTCGGTGTGAAGTGTAATAAGCCTGATTAAGATAATCTCTGGCACTCTTCACCTTTATTACTTGCAATCTTATCTTTATATTTTCAAGTATAGTGCATAGTTATTTAAATGACATTAAGTTTTAAGATCTTGGTTTTATTGTTATGTTGATTTTATTTTAAAGCATATGTTATTGTAAAAAGACCACTTGTAAGTGATCTTTTGCTAAAACAAAAGAGGTGGGAAAAAAAAAATTATATGATTCATCGGTAAAAGATCACACAAGTATTTCTTTCATTGGTATCAAAGCTATTGATATTTGATGTCATTAGTTATCTTTTTCTCTTTAGTGTGTCTAGATCAAGCTTATGAATGAGATATATGAAACCTAATGACATTTGTAGTTAAGTAATACACCCACAGTTAAGAATTATTCAAATATTCAAATACGAAAAAGGCACTCTGCGTAATGGGTATTCTAGGTTATTTTGGAGTAATGATATGAAGAAGACAATGATGTATTTTTCTATTGCACACTTCAGTAATATTGTATGTCTTTGAGAGTAGGATCTACCTATAAAAGTTCAGTAGGAGATCCTAAGGGAATTGAAAGTTATGGACTCATCAATGAAAGGTATTAGTTTTGACCCTGCAAAATCCAAGAACTGTCCATTGAGTTCCGTGATTTTTTCCACTAATGATATGATTTTATTTCTTGCTGAAATTTTACAATAATCCATAAAATTGAGTCTACAATCAAACAAAAAAAACTTCATCAAGAAATTCCTTATGGTTTGAAATATATGATCGATTTATTGAAGAGTGCGCAAGTGCTCCTTTTCTACAATAAAAATTATTTTCATGACTTAGAAGTCAAGATTTTATTTCTATTATTAACAGAATATTTTATGGATCACACTAAATTTTTAGACTTCCCTTTTAAATCTAGTTTCTAATAAAATTTATTTAATAGAGGAATATCTACGAGAAGAGAAGAATAAAAATTTTGGATTGAAGAGAGGTCATCATGAATTTTTTACAATTTGGTATGTCATTCATTGAGAAATAAATATCTATATTTATTAAGTCTACTTAACAAAGTGATATAAGGCTTATGGAAATATATGTGTTACTATTATGTGTCTACTTTCAAACAAAATTTGTTTGAAAGAGAAACTTTATGAGGGTAGAGAGAAAATGCAATTTTATTATATAGTGTTCATCCTTGAATTTTGCAATATGATTTATTTTATAACGTGAATGTCACTTATTTATTTATCTAAATAAAAATATTATTTGAGATTCACACTATGATGTTATGATTTAGTTTTGAGTCTATTTTTTAATACAAAATATTTCAGGAAGATATTCTTGAAGGATTGAGAGAAACAATTTTTTTATTGAGAGGTGCTAAACCTGATTTTCTAGTGAGAAAATTGCATTGTGACATTAATGTCACTAAAATAAAGATTCACTAAATGATATGATTTAGGGATAGAACTAAGTATTATTTTATATTTTTAGTCTATTTCAATATTCAAAAGAATTCGGCGATAAACTCTTTATAAGTTAAGAGATGTCATATTTTTATCATGGGATGCTCATGTTCTATTCTGCAGTAAGTTAAAAGATGTGGCATATTAAGGCACATATTTGGATTCCTAATTATGGAAACCTTTTTAGGGCTCATTTAAAAAGGTTTTAAAGTGTGTCATGGGTACGATTTATTATAGTAAAACTTTAGAGAGAGGTAATACATAGTTGGCGAGATAAGACACTCTATATGAAAAATAT